CTGCCAAAAAGTAATCTAGCTTTCCCCTGTCTCCAAAGCAAGCTTACTCCTGAAAATACTTGATAAAAGGTGGGCAAAGGAGTCTTCTTGTCACAGCAGCCCCGCCCCAAGTGCAAACATAGGGACAGATGTGTCCAGTCACACACACTTCAATCCACGTGAAACACAACTTTCTCAGTCCTCAGGCCTGCCTCAGATCTCCGTCATCTGTCTCAGGTGAAATCAAGTCCCTTGCTCATCTTAGGTCCTAATGCAGTCTGTACTGACACAAGAATGGGATGCTGGTCCTGGGTGAAGCTGTCTAGAGAGAAGTAGCCTTGGACTGGAGCCAGCACTGCTCTCCTCCTCCTATCTCTGCCTTGGAGCTCCAGAAGGTGAGTACGGAAGGGAGAGCCTCCTGCTTGACAAGTGAGGCTGTGGGCATGGACATCCATGCTCACCTCTCCCCGCCTCTCCTACACACCTCAGCTCCCCACTGAAGGCAACTTACCCCTTTCCTAGTTCTCCCAGGAGTTCTTGGAGGTGCTCTTTAAATGAACCTACCTTTGGTCTCAGGAAACCCAGTACCTTGGCCTACAGCAGAAGCAATTGTTGAGTATCTGTGAAGGTGAGCAGAAACAGAAGACTCGTGCCCTAGGGATCAGGCCACGAGACCACTAAACTTACTGCCAAAGGCTGCAGTGAGACTGTCCCATGTTGAAAATCCATTGTGCTTCTCTCATCATTGCGAGGTGAGATTTCTCAGAGGTGGCCCTGGTGTCAAATACCTGAGCATCACTGAGTCTGTGCGAATGAGTGAAGGGATGCATCCCAGCCCTTGTGGTGTGGGTCGGGAGTCCCCACAACCAACCTCCTGCTGAAACATAGGCTGCTGGTCCTGTATCCATGCCAGACGTGAGAGCCACCATACTGAGCTCTCCAGACCACAGTAACTCCTAAAACCACTGAGCCAGGTTACAGCAGACAAGCCGCAAGAGGTGGCAGGTACAGGGAGGTGTCACTCATTGGCTGTCTCCTGCCAGAAAACCTTCTGTGGTCTGCCTCTCAGCAACAGGACAGACAGGTACAGGGCTGACATGGAGCCAGCTCAGGCCCACTCACTCCCAGCCATTGCATCTGCTCCCTGGAGGGTAAGCATTTGGCACCTGCTGTTCTGTTTGGAGGCCTTGGACCTTTGCCTGAAGTGGCAAGATGACAGGAAAAGTTGATAAACACCTGCCACAGCACCGGTGATGACAGCCACAGTCATAATGAAGACAGCGCCATTTGATACCAGGTGCCACTTAAATGTTGTGCCAATTTGTCCTTGTTAGAGAGAAGTGGGTGACAACCATTCATGGAGATGTGGGTCAACCTCAGAACATGTCGATTCTCCTAGTGGCTCTGCCTAAGGCCCCATTTTACAGAGAGAGAACTCAAGACCCTGCGAAGTCACTCGGTGCCTTCCCCAGACCAGGAGGGCACCAGATGTAAGCCAGCCATTCCTGGGGGCCTGAACTCCAGCATTCACTGACACTACCTATTTTCTGACTTCTTGGGAGCAGTCTGTGGCCAGATCTGTGCTCTGAAAGTATAGAACCTATTACTCCACCTCCCCCAGCCAGGAGGGTCTTGAGAGCCATGAACTCTGTGGATGTATTTCTGCCCCTCTGTGAGGTCCCTGTGGATGGAGAAAAGAGCTACAGCCTGGGGGCCTCAGGCAGCCGCTCATTCCCTCACACTTCTGCAGGCTGGAATCTAGAGACATGTCCACTGTGACCTTGTTAGCGCTGAAGAACTTTCTTTCTCCACTCTTTCAGCTTCTAGTGGTTGCTTATCATTCTGGAGCTAGGGCTGTGTCGTTCTACGACTGCCTTCTCTTTCCAGGGCCTCCTCCTTGTGTCCTGTCTAGTCAGCCAGCTGTCCTGGTCTTGGGCAAATCCACTCTGACCTCATAGTAACTAGTCACATCTACAAGGGCCCCTGTGGTCATTTGAATGAGATATCCCTTACAGTCTCAGGCATTTAAACTCTTGGTTCCCAATTGACGGCACTGTTTGGGGAGGCTTAGTAAGCATGGCCTTGTTGTATGAAGCGTTTCACTGGGGGTGGGCTTGGAGGTTTCAGAGCCTGTGTCCTTCCAGTGCATGCTCTGCTTCCTGATGGCAGTTCAAGAGGTGAGCCCTCAGCTTCCTGTCCCTACTGCAGGCCTTGCAGCTTGCTGCCGTGTCTCCCTGCCTCAATGAACTCTTATCCCTCTGAAACCTGTAAGCCCAAATAAGTCCTTCCTTCTCTAAGTGGCCTTGGTCATGGCATATATCACAGTGACAGAGAAGTAATAATCCAGCTCTGGGTGCAGATGAGGTCACATATGGACAGAGAAGTAATAATCCAGCTCTGGCTGCAGATGAGGTCACCTATGTTGGTAACAGGCAGCTGGAAATGTGTAAGGAGCCCTATTTTGCACTCTGCCAGCCAACCTCACCCACTGCTTGCCCAAGGAGCCTGACATGGTCCCCTCCCAGGTTCAAATTTTCTGAGGGCTCATCATCCCTCGGTCCTGTCCTTCCTTCTGCCTACCCATCACCCTGGTCAACTATGAGCCTCTGAGATGAGTCTGTAGAAGTGGTGCCTTCTCTCTGTGTGAGGCAAGGTGTTCTGTGTGATAGCTTCAGTCCAGAGAGAGGCAGGAAACCCAGATCAAGCGCCCCACCCTGTCCGGTCTCTACCTCCCCTTTTCTGGGCCTTAGAAAGTGTTCCTTCGTGGTGCAGAAGACAGACTGCTCAGGGATGGGCATCTGGGACCTGCTGAATCATCTAATAATCACAGAGCTCAATGTAGGAGCAGCCAGGCTGCCTGGAACCCGGCTCAAGCACAGCGCCAGCCTCCATGCCCCGTGTGTTCAAGGCCTGTGTGCTAATGTCCCAACCCCACAGGCTGCTGCCACCTCCAGCCGTCTCTGCTTTCTATTCTGCCAGGAGGGACACGGAGTGCAGGACTGACCAGGAAACTGGCTAAAGCCCAACCCTTGGCCACGTTCTTTGCTCCTTGGCACACTGCCTGCTGGCCCAACAAACCATTCTGGAAGACTGATGCAGGACCTCAGAACATAGACCTGGGAGGCTTTTGTAGGAGAGCTGAGCATTGTTCTGGAGACAAGGTCCTATGGAACCCTCCAGGCAGCTAGGGGGAGGAAGAGAAAACTGGAGGGGCCAGTGTGGCTCAGCATCATCCCCAAGTTACCTTCTACTCCCAGCTCCTCCACTTGGGAAAGCCTGACTTTTCACTCTTACCTGGTGTGGGATGGAGCTACCTGGACCGATTTCCCAGGGCCCTGCTCCTCCACACAACTCCCTCCACCAGGCATCTCCTGGAACCTGCTAGCAGAGCAGACCTCTGGCCCCATGAACAGGGCGTTCCATACTAGCCAGACGCCTCATCAGGGCGGGGTCTCAGCCAATCAAGGCTCCCTGCACCTCTTTACCCCTCACACACAGCGGTTTTACTCTGGAACCAAACTTCCAGCCACTGCGCACAGCCCGAGCTTGGCTTTGGAAAGATATTTTTAGCAATGCTGAAGCTCCTCCAAGGGCTGCTAGGATGGAGCCACTGCCCCAGTTCTTCAACCCTTCTAGTCACAGGAGTTCCCTGACCAGGCCTCTGCCCTGGCCCTGTTCAGTTGGAGGCTCTTTCCTACCTAGTGTGAAAGCCACCATCCAGCCCTTGCCAGGAGCTGTGCCTGGGGAGGGCCTGGCTCCACTCAGCCTGTCCCCAGTGCCTCTCTCAGGAAGTGACAGACTAGAGGAGGAGGAGGGGTGCTTTCCATGTTTAGGATCTGAGGGGAAGGATAAAGATGTGCTCCCACCTTCTGGAGAGACGCCTGTGTACCTGGGAGTCTCTGTAGGAAATGAGGCAAGGAGGGAAAGAGCGGGAGGGGGCAGGGAGAGAGAGGGAGAACAGGGAACAGAGGAAGAGACACGGAGACTCTGCTCTTCAGGTACATGTGGCCTTCAAGACAAAAAGCTCCTCTCCATCTTTGGGGTTCTGAGCACTGTACACTGCCTGTTCGGCCACCACACTGACTTCTCATTTCCAGGTGTGGGAAATGAGGCCTGGAGAGAAGGTTTATAAGGCAGGGCCTCCAGTCCACCCTCAGAGCACAGGTATCTCCAACATCCTCTGACACACACATGGCCCCAGAAAGGCAGTCTATGGAACTCTGGGGAGCCCCCAGCCTCCAGACCATCTAGGCCCCGAGGACCAGCCTTCCTGAACCCATTTACTAAATAATAACAACTTCCCTAGGCCCCGTGTCTTTGCTCTAATGCTGATGCCTTACAGTAACCTAGGCTTTGCCTCTGGAAGGGGGTTGCTTTGGCCCCCCTACGCTTATGTAAAAGCGTGGTTCTATCGCTCCCTGGCCCAGTTCTCCATACTGAGTTCTGGCTTTGCTCAGCTTCCATGGAACTTGAGCATTCAGCTTCATGGCACTGCCAACCCCATTCCCTCAGCCCCACCCCCGGGCTCTATCAACATTCCCAGACTTGTCCTACAGTGACCACTATGTCCCTGCTGAAGACCGCCACTGACTAGGCTAGACGGTCCCCTCCTCATTGTGGGGCCTTCCTCACTCCATCCAAGTTTGACATCAGAGCCTTGATCCTCTGGTTCTGAGGTGTCAAGTGCCAGAATGAGGGTGGACAGACAAGTCTCTCCATGTGGGATGGTGCCCATTCTAGGAGCAGACTAGTTATCCCCAAACCTGACCATCTGGAGTAGCTGGCTGCCCCACCCATATCAGTGACCACTAGAGAGAATGCAGCCAGTGGCAGCACTGGGATCAACGTCTAAACCTCCAAGCTCTCCCAAGGCAGACATTCCGGCAGTGCTCCCCACAAAAAGGACCTAGAGGCCAGGAGTGCAGTCTCAGAGCAGGCTCTGAACTGTGTGCCTGAGGCCAGCCTCTGGTCAGGGACAGCAGCTCATCTCTGGCTTTCCGCCCTCCCCCGTGAACTCTTACCTTCTATGTAACACCATGCAGTTCCTGCAGAAGGAAGCAGCATGGAGGAAGAGCAGGCTCAGAGGTCCAGGGTGCTGCCTGTGTCCCCAGAGAACAGAACTCCAGGATACAGGCTCCTGACTGCTGAGTCACAGGTCCCCACAGGTCAGCTTCAGATAACACCTGATAGCTTCCCGGGCCACTGCACAGGGTGTTGCTAGGCAGACAGGCCATGGCTGGGCTGACTACCCTCAAGGCCCCCTATGGGGGACTGCTGTCCAGACCTCCCAATTTGAGGATCGGGTTCCACTCCTCATAGCTGTGGGTCAGGGGTGGACGCCTCACTTGGATGCATGGACTTGACTACTGTCTTTCAGCTTTTCCTCATCAAAGGGAAATCAGGTGCCTCTTGTCTGTATCACCTCAATTTCAGAGCTGACAACCTGTAACCCGCCTTGTCTCAGGGCCATTCATCTACTCAATGTAAAATGACATTTACAGACATGATCCTGCCCACACTTGGTTCAGTGCGCCCCTTTAGAGAAGTACGTGAAAGCAGTGTGGACCCCCACGCTTAGGGTTTCCTGGCTCACCATGACTCTGGGGGTTTGTGTAACTCAGCCCTGGATGTCACAATCAGATACATCCTAAGGATGTATAATCTATTGATGCCTTTCCAATGTCCCCAGGGCAGTGTTATTATTCAATTTTTTATACGAGAACTTGTATACACTAAGCATGTCTGTGTCACCATCACCTGGTCAGGAAATGACCTTCGCTCTCCCAGGAGGCCTCTCTGTGGCCTTTCTGAAGCCAAGGACTTATATTCTGTAAAATCATGGGATTATACGCACAACATAAAGGTTGTCGCCTTAACCTTCCTGAGCGTTTTCACTGTGCTGTGTGGTCACCGTCTCCAGAACTTCCACCTCCCCGCACTGAACCCCATGAACACCAACTCTGCAGTCTTTGCTTGGGCACCTACGGTTCCTTCTGTCCCCATAAGTGATGGCTTATGGGGCCTCCTGGTGTCTTAGCCCCTCCTGTGATGGCTGTGGATCATTCTACCTTCTGTCCACGGTGAATGTACTGCCATGGATGGGGTGGGGGGTGGGGGACGACACAGTGTTCTAGATCTCAGCACTTGGGGTCGATATGCGGAAGTGACGGTGTAAGAACATGCGGCAGTGTTAGGCTTGTTTTCTTCTTCCGAGGGAATGTCAGTGTTCAACAGTGGGTGACCACTTCACATACCCCACTCCCAGGGTGTACCCCACTCCCAGAGTGTATTGGCTCCCAGTGCCTCACATCCCAGGCTTTATTTTCTCTTTTTCTTCTTTGCTTGCTTGTTCTTGATAGTAGATGGCCTAATTACGACTATGTGGCATCTCACTGAGGCTTTGGTTCATACTTCCCTGAAGTTTAGCAATGCTGAGGCAATTTTAATGTGATTTGGGGCCAAAGGATTATTTTTTTAAATAAGAAAATTGACACACAAAACAATATTAGCCTGGACTTGCTGGTAGAGGGTTCGCCAGGCTTGTAGAGGACTGTAGGTTCCATTCTCATTACTGATGGAGGCAGTAAAGAAGAAAAGAAAGGAAGAACAGGAGGGCAGGAGGAATATATTCAATCTTCTGGAAACATAAAAATGAAATAATGACCTGTATCTACCATTAGAGCAGGGAGGGGCTTTGGTGTTGTTTGCTGGGGTGGAGTGGCAGGAAGAAGCAAGGACACAATGACGGCTAAAGGGGTAGACGACCAGGAAGCATGTGGGCACCATGGAGTAGAGCTGATGGGGACATCTAGCTCATCTTGGGAGGGGACACTTGTTATCCAAGTCAGCCTCCTGCAGGATGCGGCCTCTTCAAACACCTGGGACTGGACATGAGTCTGCAACGCTATCTTGCATTTTCTAGAAAGCAAAAAGAAAAGTGTCTTTCCAGGCTATGGAGTGGCCTGGATTAGAGCAGAATCTTGACCCTCATAGAAGCCAGTTCTGAGAAGCTACATAGATTATGTTCCCCACGACCAGGGTACAGCTGTGCTGGGGCACTGCTGAGAATTAAGGCTGAGCCCTAGCAACCATGTAGGGCAAACTATAAGAGTGAGGTAAGAAATGGAGGAGCGGCAATCCAAGGCCTGTTGCAGGAGTGAGCAGCTCAGAGGACTGGAGAGGTCCTGGGCCTGGCTGAGCAGGGTGGCCCAGAAGACAACAGCAATGAGTGTCAAGGCTGGAATGGGGGCAGGGAGAATGTATGCAGAGCAAAGGGTGGGACAGTGGAGAGTCTCAGGGAAGTGCAAGCACCATGAACTGAGCAGAGCCCAGGAGAGGCACAAGAAGAGAAAAGGCAAGAGAAAGGGAGGCACAGACCGTGGTACATCAGGGCCCAGGGAAGGCTGTCTATGATTGGAGCTTCCCTGCCTCCTGCTTGAGGCTCCAAGGAAGGCAGGTTTGGGGGCCACCTCGTAGGCATGGGCCAGACACTCGACTTTCCTCCGATGAAGGTCAGCACACTTTAACATACCTCGTGATTGGGTGGAGGACAAGCCTGCCCATACAGGGTCATCCTTGGCAACCTCCATTCTGAGACCCATCTGGAAAATGAGGGAGGGTGGAGAGGAGCTGAGCACACTAACGGAGCTCCCATCATGAAAGCCCCAATTCTCAGGCTTGGCAGGGCAGCTGTGGGATGGCAGCCATGCTCTTCCATGAGTCCAGCTGTGAGGCTTCTGCTCCCATCCCTTCTACCGTCATGGTGGCTCCACATTCTCCTTCATGATCTTTCCTCTGTCCCCAAGGCCTTCCTGTCCCTGTTGCTTCCATATCACAACAGTGACTACTCAGAATTGAGCACAAGCAGAGGGGGGCAGGACCAAGAACAGTGGGCTTAAGGTAGGATCAGTCATGTGACCATCACCTGTCTACACCCGAGTCACACACTGCTGGCTACAGGAGCTAGAGCTCTCTAGGAAGGTGAAAGAAAATGACTTGACTGGCCAGGAGCCTCTGAATGTGACAGTCCCCATTTGAGACTGATTGACAGACAGGTACAAGGCTAAGGCCAGAGACCCAGGGCCAAAGTCAGGACAAGCAAGAGAAATCTCGGGGTGCACAGCCCCAAGAAGGCCTCTGAAAACTCAGTCTCTTAAGCAGAAGGTAAATGCTGCACCTTAACATTTAAAATTTCCACCTCAAAGGTCACAATGAACAAGAGATCACAATTTGAAGTAAGCCCAGGGAATCTGGCAGGGTATGAGCCTAAGCCAGCCAGGAGGAAGAGTTGTCTTTATTTACGGCATTGGCATTCCTTCGTTCAGGACGCTTCCATATTTGATTCTTCCACTCCACATGGAAACATTACTTATTTCTATCATTACAGTCTGTGGCTCTGGTTATTATTTCTGGTTTTTTTTTTTTTTTTTTTTTTGTTCACAGAAAACTCACTATGTAGTCCAGGATGGTCTGCAGCTCTCCATCCTCCTGCCTCAGACTTCTGAGTGCTGGGATGACAGGCATGCACTATAGTGCCTACCTTGATCGCTGAATTTTGACACCGATCACATTTGGCACGTGCAGTTTCTCTGGTCCCGGACCGTGCTCTGGTTAGGTGAGGGACATGGCAAGGGCAGTCATCAGGGCACTGGCTGCATGTGGCTCTGAGGAATGGCGGTTGAGGAAAGTAGAGAGAGGAAAATCTCAGCCTGAGGCGTGTGAGCAGGGTCCACCTGTCTTTCCTTGAAGATCCACAGGAAAAGCCACTGTCTCCTGAGTGGTTGTGTGTCATGGAGCTCCAGGAAGCCACATGGATACTGGAGATCACCAAACAGTGGCCTAGAAGGGCCTTCTCCATGGCCTTGCTAAATTGCTTCACGTGCCTCCCAGGGCCACCTGTCTTGCATGGGGCAGTGTGACTTGATGGGCAGCCTGTTTCAAAGGTTGTGCGGTGGTGACCAGGCCTTATCACCAGGTGTGGGGGCTGGTCCTCACTTCAAGGACTCGATGATGCAAAGGCTTGGCTCTGCATGACTTCTCCTCCCTCAGCAGCAGGGCTCTGGGGACAAGAGTCACACTGCCCCCAGACAGGTCAGAGCGTTGTCGAGCCTCAGGAGCTCTGGGTCACAGGCATGACGACCGTGAAGTCCTTAGGCATGCGTGTGGAGGTCAGAGGATGACTTCCAGTGACAACTTCCAGCAGTCAGTTCTCTCCACTCCACCACGTAGGCTCCAGGACTCAAACTCCGGCCAGCAGGCTCAGCAGCAAGTGGCTTTGCCCACTGAGCTGTCTTGCCAGCCTTTCCAGCTTGGTTCTGCATTGCCTATTCTGCCTCTCCATTGCTCCAAGCTTCTCCGGGAGCTGGGTGTGAATGTGCCTTCTCCGTCTAGACACACGGGAACCCATTACGGGCTGCTGTAGTCTCCTGGGTCTTGGGCCAGCACTTTGAGACAAACAGTTTCTCACGGAAGAATCCTCATACCTTTCTTTCTCTTCCTTTTTCATATAATACGTTTATTATGCCAATTTAATCATTATCAGAAAATCGCTTGGGAACAACTGACAATAAAGTCAGCAGAAACAACCCAGGAGTGATAAATCACCCAAAATTGATTGCAGAAATGCTTTGTGACTTCTCAGGTAGCATTTGCCTTGTGACAGTCGCTCATCTCAGTCTGAAATAAAAGAATGCACACGGGGCTTTCTCTGTGTTAGGATGCATCAGCAGGATGCCTGGGGACCCCGAGCAAACTGCCACACAGTCACCACGGGATGTTATTTTGTGCTGCTGTCTTCGTGTTTAGGGCTCCTAGCCTGCTGTGTGCACGTTTAGGGATCCATGGCTCCTGCCTGCATGTTTAGAGCTATTATTATAGCTGCCTGCAGATATGGTTTTCCCATCCTGCTACCATTAGTATCATTCCCTATGGCTTGAATTTTCTCTTCTCTGATATTAAACTCTCTCTCTCTCTCTCTCTCTCTCTGTGTGTGTGTGTGTGTGTGTGTGTGTGTGTGTGTGTGTGATATTGCATAATACCCACAGACCATCTTTTTGCTTGCTCTTGCTCAGTGTCTGCCTGGCACTCCTAACCACTTAGCCTCCCCTCCAGCCCCA